TTAATGACCTCTTGCTTTCTTCACGTGTGATGTCCTTCATGTCATTCCACAACTCATCTGGTCTTGGATCATTAGTGTTCAGTGCATCTAATCTGTTCTTGAGATGTTCTCTAAATTCAGGTGGAATATACTCAAGCTTGTACTTTGGCTCTGTGGACTTGTTTTAATTTTCTTCAGCTTCAACTTGAACTTGTATATGAGCAGTTGATGGTTTGTTCCACAATCGGCCCTTGGCCTTGTTCTGATTGATGATATTGAGCTTCTCCATCATCTCTTTCCACAAATGTAGTCAGTTTGATTCCTGTGTATTATTTCTGGCGAGGTCCATGTGTATAGTTGCCATTTATGTTGTGAAAAAAGGTATTTCCATTGAATAGGTCATTGGTCTTGCAAAATTCTATCATGCAATCTCTGGTGTCATTTCTGTCACCAGGACTGTATTTTCCAGCTACTGATACTTCTTTGTTTCCAACACTCGTATTCCAATCACCAGTAATTATCACTGCATCTTGATTGAAAGTTTGATCAATTTCAGACTGCAGAAGTTGATAAAAATCTTCAATTTCTTCATCTTTGGCATTGGCAGTTGATGTATAAATTTGAATAATAATATTAATTGGTTTTCCTGTAAACATATGGAATTATCCTATCACTGATAGCGTACTTCAGGATAGATCTTGAAGTATTCTTTTTGATAATGAACGTGATGTCATTCCTCTTTAATTTGTTATTCCTGGCATAATATACCATATAATCAGCATGGCCGATTTCAGTCCATTTCAGCTCACTAATGCCTTGGATATCTGTCTTCAAGCATTCCATTTCATTTTTGACAACTTTCAATTTCAGTAGATTCATAACTTTGTGATTCCACATTCTGATTATTAATGGATGTTAGCAGCTGTTTCTTCTTATTCTGAGTCTTGCCACGTCAGCAAATGAAAGTCACAAAAGCTTTATGCCATATACATTAAGGCTGACTCTACTTGGAGGTGCAACCTTGAGTATATCCCAGCTGAATTATGAGAACGTCGCAAGAATAGGTTAGATACATTGAACACTGATGACCAAAGACCAGACGAGTTGTCGAATGACATAAAGGACATCATACATGAAGAAAGCAAGAGGTCATTAAAAAGACAGGGAAGAAAGAAAAGACCAAAATGGATATCAGAAGAGACTTTGAAACTTGGTTTTGAACATTGAGTAGCTAAAGCAAATGGAAAAAATGATGTAAAAGAGCTGAACAGAAGATTTCAAAGGGCAGAAGACAAAGTAAGGTATTATAATGACATGTGCAAAGACCTGGAGTTAGCAAACCAAAAGGGAAGAAAGAGCTTGGCGTTTCTGAAGCTGAAAAATCTGAAGAAAAATTCAAGCCTCGTGTTACAATAATGAAGGATTCTATGGGCAAATATTGAACAACGATGCAGGAAGCATTAAAAAAAGATAGAAGGAATATACAGTCACTGTATCAAAAAGAATCAGTAGATGTTCAGCCATTTCAGGAGGTGGAATATGATCACGAACCAATGGCACTGAAGGAAGAAATTCAACCTGTGCTGAAGACATTGATGAAAAACAAAGCTCCAGGAATGGACAGAATATCAACTGAGATGTTTCAACAAACAGATGCAGTGCAGGAAGTGCTCACTCATCTATGCCAAGAAATTTGGAAGACAGCTACCTGACGAAACAACTGGAAGCAGTCCATATTTATGCCTATTCCAAAGAAAGGTGACCCAACATAATGTGGAAATTATCAAACAATATCATTAATATCACACAAAAGTAAAATTTTGTTGAAGATCATTCAAAAGCATTTGCAGTGGTACATGACAGGAAACTGCCAGAAATTCAAACTGGATTCAGAAGAGCGTGTGAAAGAAGGGGTATCATTGCTGATGTCAAACGGATCCTGGCTGAAAGATGTTTACCTGTGTTTTATTGACTATGCGAAGACATTTGACTGCGGATCATCGCAAATTACAGATAACATTGGGAATTCCAGAAC